TCTGAAGCTGAATTAAAGCAGTAGGCTAACTCACTAATGGTGAACATGTGAGTTTGTTAATAAACCGGCAGGTACAACAGTGATAAACCACTTTTGCGAGGGAACGCAAAAAGAAAAAAAAATCCCCCATGTCCCGTCGTGGGCTCAGTACTGAACAATTCACAAATCTTCTGAAATAATTTCCTTTGCAGACCAACAAGATGATGCGTGGTCGTGATGCACAACATGTTGGAGCTGATTTGTTAAGATAATAAGTGAAAAGTGGTACTGCTGTGGGCACGATGCATAATAAGAGGTGCAAAAAGTGACAGACCACCTTGTTAAAATGAGGATTTAGCGTGGCAACATTCCAGATGCAACCAAATGACATGTTGCAAGGAGTTKTCCTACAGAAGCCATGGCTCTGAAGTAGCTCCAAAAGAAAAACAAACAGAAAAGAAAAAGTGTTTGTCACATTTTGCCTGTTACCCACAGCCTGTTCACTATTCCTCWTGTCTTGCCACGCCTCCTTGTTCTCAACCACAGTAATTACCTTCAGTCTGATCACCTGTTCCATGCCCTAAACCCTATCCTCTCTCCAGACCAGCGCCAGATTATTGAACGGTTCATCTAGTAAATGTCCAGCGTCTATCTCACGTCTAAGCCTGATCTCATGTTTTCGACCTCCTGCCTTCTACTCTTGCCTGTCTCCCGCCTGGGTTTTTTGCTATCTCTGACCCTTGGCTGCCGACCTCGTTTCCCCTCACTGCACTTCGCCACTTGTTCGTGTTTTGGGTTTGTTTAAGGTTCTCTGATCTCCCGGCTCTGTCCCTTGACCCACTTCTGGACTTCTGAACAAAGCCTGACCCCTCGCCTGAAACTCGAGCTTCTCAAATCCCAACCGTCAGCTCTTGGCTGCGAGGAGCTTCTACCAGCTGAAAGCAGAGTGTGCTGCCCCGAGAGTCCGACGAGCCACCAACTTCTGGTTCACCAGTAAAACCTTTAAACTTGTTTGGTCTCTGCCTGTTTTGAATCCAACACCCAAAACCTGTCTGTTTCTTTCTATTTTCTATTTTTTATAACGTTCTTGTTGCACAGTTGCCATAATGTTCCGTGTGATACAAAAAAAAAAAAGGTTTGTAATGCCACATTATGTAATAATGTATGGAGCCCGCCGGGGGTCAGTGGTGAAAAAAAAAATCAGCCGCCAGAAATCCGTGCACACGGATTACTAAACTGTGTACTCAGTGTAGTAATCCATGCGCACGAATTACTAAATTGTGCGCTCAGTTTCTGCAATCTGTGCGCACGGATTACTCAACTGAGCGCATGGATTACTATACTGAGAGCACGGATTACTATACTGAGAGCACAGATTACTAAACTGTATACTCAGTGTAGTAATCCATGCGCACGAATTACTAAATTGTGCGCTCAGTTTCTGCAATCTGTGCGCACGGTTTACTAAACTGAGCGCAGAGATTACTATACTGAGCGCACAGATTACTATACCGAGCGCACAGATTACTAAACTGAGAGCACGGATTACTAAAAGGCTCTGAGCGGCTTCCTGTGATGATCCGATCGGAGCTGAAACAGCCTTTAGGAGACCCAGTACCAAAACTGCATGATAGAGGGGCATAATCTAGCCTGGCCCTGGCCTTCCTATACAGCTCCGCTCAATTCTAGTTTCCTTCACTGCTCCGTCTGGGACTTCTCCCACTGACAAGGATTTCTTTGGGAGCATTTTCGTCCGGGCCAATCAGAGAACAGAGCATCGATATTCTGCAGTGTCTGCTTGTAGTTTATTTTACCTGGACCAATCAGAAAACAGAAGGAGGAGTTTTGAATGACGTCGATGTTCCGCACAGTGTCTGCTAGTTATTTTAGCATACAGCAGTGGAGGAAGTGAMYGAAGCCAGTCTGTGTTGATAAGGCTTCAAATTAAATTAAATTAAATTATTCTGACAAAGCAGCAGCTCTCATTTACAGTCGTCTCGTTCAGCTCCGTACTTCTCTCCTCTCAGTAGGGTTGTTTACAGCACACATGATTTCCGGTTAACTTCTTAGCCTCCTTCACAGTGGAGCTGGCACACATATGTCACAGCCAAATGATGCAGTCATTTTAAACTTCAGCAGAGGCCACGCCTCCTGTAAGAATCGCTTCTCTATAGCAGCGAGTCCACACCAAAATCTACAGTCCACGCAATAATTCACCTGATTGCAAATCTAATAAAATCCAAACTATCCACTGCTATTTCCCTGCCCTCACCC